CCCCAAAACCCCAAAACCCCAAAACCCCAATATACTCTCAGCTGATTGCCTATATACGGTATTAGTAGAATATTATAAGAAATGGAGTTGGATGAAAACTATTTCTTTCAGCTTCTACCTTAAATGCTGGATTACAAAGCATTTTGTCCAAAAGCCTTACATTAAGATCCTTTGGCCTCTACAAGCCTTGATTGTACCTTTAGTGAATTTTAGAATCTGAAAACATATTAGTTTGAACTTTGGAATTATGGGATTATTGAAAAGAAAAATACACCTGAGGGTTAAGCTTAGTCCTATATGAGTCTATAATTCTTGCTTCTTCTAATTTATTAGCTTATAATTCATTTTTTAGATTTTAAGGAAGATAATAAATAGAAGTGAGTGGAACTCTCTGTTTTTGGAAAATATGGTTGGATTGTCAGAGAAATTAAAGCTTGAATCTAATTAATTAATCTCTGCATCTAAATAAGACACCAAGAGTAAAAATTTAACTTAGTGCATATCATAAAATTTTTAAAGATCCAACAGAAATAATTATTTTAAAGCATCTTAACAAAATTTGATCTTAATATTTTAGGATTTTCTCAAATTTCTGATTATTAATATGAGTTGGAATCAAAGAAAGAAGTTTTATTAAAATAGAACTAAATGATTTCAGGTAAAAAATCTTGGCAAATATTTTGAGCGAAAATAATAGAGGATCCGTATTGAAGATATCTGAACCAATAAGCTATAAGATCCAATGTTTCGCACTTTTATGTATCAGAAAATAGCATGGAAAGCAAATTTTCTTGTTTTTAACAATATAATTTTACCATATGTTTAGTTAACCAAATCCTCTGAAAAGTTATACTATCTTCACTCTACCTATTTGATCATATACAACGCTAGTATACTTCCCTTTTTTACTTGAGCATTCTCAATCAAAATATTTTTCGCACACGGAAGTATCAATGGCCTATTAATAAGTAATAGATTTGAGGGTAACTTCATAACTGAAAATTATTCTACAGCTCAATAATGTCGTCTTAACCAATTAGGCTCATACTTTTTAGGAACACTGACAAGTTTACATCACTCATGGCCATATTTAAAGCTTCGGTTTTAGAACTCAGGACTTTATCGAACAGAGTTATGGCCAAATTTAGTCTCAAAGATCTCTACCAATTCTGAGAATTGTGGATATATCTGGGAATATTGCTGTCAATGATTTCTTATCAAAGGCCAGCCTTTGGATTAGGGAAGTTAATATCTGGGAAAGTTGTATTAAGCAAAATTGATCGTCTTTTAGTTCTAATGCAAGCCAATATTTGTCAATAAGTTAAGGACCAAGTATTATTGATTGTATAGGGATTAAGTAGAACAAAGCCTAGTTTCTCTATTATTTTTAGGTTTGATACTATTATGACTCTATTAAATCAAAGAGAAGGCCTTCAATTAAACTTTAATTCAGCATTTACCAGAAAATTCGTTTTCCAAATTTTGCAATTTTTCGACCTGGTTTAAATGTTCTAAAATTTTTTGATTTAAATCATCTCAAAAGACTTCCTCAAGTTATGATGTTAAGACTTACCACCCATAACTAAATCACTGATTAAAATTATATATTAATCCATTAACTTAACTCTCAACCTAATTTTTCCATCAAATCTTAAAATCTCCAGAAACACACTAAAATCTTCGCCCAGAATTTACCAAGACCTTCCCAAATCTATTCCCATCCAATCCAATACTTACCCATTCCCACCCCATCACAACCCCCACTCCCCACCCCTCCCCACCCCTCCTCTTACCTCCCATTCCCTTCCAAAACCCCTTCTTCCACTCTACCCTTCTTCAGCTAAAATATTCTTAACACTAGAAGCAGCACAGTTGCATGAAATTTCATAGAGTAGAAATTGTGGTTTAACTAAGAGAGGAGGTTTAAGGGATGTGGCTGGAGGAGTGAGAAGGAGATGGGTTGTGAGTGGGGTTGAGGAGAAGTAGGGAAGGTGGAAAGGGGTGGAGAGGGGGTTTTAGGAGAGGGGGTTTTGGGGGTATGGACTTAGAGAGGAAGAGATTGTATATGTTGAGGGGGTTGAGTGAAGTTGGATGTGGTTTAAGTGTCTTATTTTTTTTATTTAAGTTGTATTCAGATTTCTGTATTATTGAAGATATCGAACTGGAGATGTTTACCAGAAGCTTCAAACAGTTCTTGTACAGATCTTAACAAATGGCTTATCATTTCAGCTAACAATCTTAGTTTTAAATGGATAAAAGAATATTACTATGTAAACTAAAGAGAAGGCTCAAGAAATTTCTGATTATTGTTGAGCCTTGATTCTTGCATATTATGTGAGCAAACATTTTGAGATATTTGCCTCAGCTAGTTTATAAATTGGAGTTTATATTCCTCATTATTCTAATGAAATATGATTTTTCAGCATGATTTGATAATCAATTGAGGAGAAAAGTCTTATTAAGTATTTTGTTCTTTATTTGTATCATTAATTGAAACAATAGAAGGCCAAGTGGATACATGATGATAATATAGGAAAATTGTTAAGTTAATGCTTTTTAGGGAGGCTACCAAGACATTTGAAGTATATTAAATTATCCTTTCGTCATTGAGCTTGACTACTTTCTCACAAAATTTAATTAAAAAATTGGTAATAAGCCAATGCCAATTTATGAGAGGCCACAAGAAAGTGCTGGGAAATAATTAAAGAAAAAGATGAGCAATAGAAATAATTAGTGTTGTCTTTGAAATGCTTATAATCATACAAACTTAGATTAATTATCTTCGTCAACAAGTTTTTGCAATTCTTCTAAATTTTTGATGTAAGCTTCCTTGTTTGTAGAGAAAGTCGGATCTGCAGTAATCAGCAAGTCTATGAGTCCTTGCTCAACAAGCTCAGTGAAAATTATCTTGAAGGCTTTGAATTCCATTAGCATTTTCAGCTTCAAATGAGAATATTTCGAAAATATATCATAGACCATAGTAAAGCAAGGTCTCACAAATGGAAGGCAGAACTTCTTCTTGAGAGGAATCCTCAGAGCCATTCAGGCAATCAGGATTTTGATTTCGTAGTAAGTCTTGACTTCATCACTTAGAACATCCTTGTCAACGATGGACTTGTAATCTAGGAGCTGATGCACTCTTGAAACTTGCTCATCTTCACCCAAATCCAATTTGTGTTTGAAGTGTTTTTCTCAATACTATGAACAAATAAGTGAAGTGCAGAATTTGGGGAACCAACAAAAAGCTTGCTCAAATTTTAAGAATAATGTACCTGTTCAATTCTGTCAAGACTGTCCATGCCTTGCTTGTTCTTAATGGACTTGATGTGAGGGTTGCCCATTGAGAAGATTTGGCAAAAATATCTTTTAATGGCTCTAATAATACTCTTCCTAACAACATCAGACCTTCACGAATTCTGGCCTGGAGAGTAAGGTTGTCTGGCTGAAGAATCCTCTCATTTCATCACGAATTGTTGATCAAGCATCCCAGAAGGGGAAACAGACTTAGATTCATCTTCTTGTGAAGAATCTTTCTCAAGCTTAACAAATGAATCATTGTCTAACAATTGCTTATGAGTCCTATCATTAGATCAAGCCGAGATTGATGAAGAAATCTTAGTTCTCTTTCTCTCAAATATGTTTGTCTCTTTTTTTTGTTGGCTTTTGAATAATGCTTCTTGCTCTATTAAATTATTAGTAAAAAATCTATTAACGATATTTTGAATATTGCTTCTGGCGTGGGAGAACAGGAAGAAGAATAGTCATGACTTGATGTAGAGCAAGGTAATATTTCTAGATCGGAAGCAGTTTAAATATTGGAAGAAATTTATTGTGGTTTAAATGAAGTGATTTAATAACATTATTCATATTTTCCTAACTTTATTGAAACTTAGAGATGAATCAGAATGGTAGGATAATTTTAATGAATCCAATTTTAGTATAGACTAAGCTAGGAATCATTTACAAATTGGTTTCCCAATTTATGAATGTCTTTAGATCTTCATGTGAAAATTTAATTTTGGCTTAATTTTTAATAATATCTCAGGTTAACATCCCCAAAAATAGCATGAAATTAAAACTTGAAATATTAACCTTTGTTGAATAGGTGCAGCCAAGTTTATTTCCCATTTTTTTTCATACAAGCGTAGCCTTACCTTCAAGTTTTGGTTCTTGATGATGCCAATGAGCAAAGGGATCTTCTTCCAAATGCTCCAAAAATTTGAAAGATCCTTCATTCCATTCACTGCTTAAAAATGATAAAAATGGCTGGTCTTGGTTCATTTTCCTAAATAGATTAGCTCCTCTATAAACTAGCGACCGAACCCCTAAACAACCCCATCCAGGCCTAAATATCGCCTACACCCCAATCTCTCCCATCTGGCACTCTTCTCCCAACGCCAATCCCTCCTACCACTAATACCCAGACCTCCCCTGACTAAAATCCAAAATCTCTTACCTTCTCTTTGTACAAACTATTATTATTATTAACTTTTGGTTCAATTAATATTCTTCTTCGCGGGGTTTTGGGGTTTTGGGGTTTTGGGGTTTTGGGG